TGTTCCTTTGGGGATTAAGGGCAAGAAATGGAAAGTGTGAAGAAAAAGGTTCCGAGGCAGGCACATGGGTTATCAGATGAATTATTTGCAACGGTCAAATAATTCATTAATGGGCAAAATTAATGGCCAACAAACAGGCCAAAGACAATTCAGTGAAGCATGGTTTGTGCTAACTTGATCCATTCGATGACGCGCCATTAAACTAAGGGATAATTGTAGCAAAAGTCTTAAACTTTTGAAACATTAGTATACTTTTCATTAACCTTTCAATTGTTGCAGTCATCACCCTAATCGTTTCAACAATTGTATCCAATGTACTTTTGGACGATTTCCATCCATTTTTTCACCAATTGACCCAAAAATTAAGTTTGACTACATATTTTATATTTTTAAAAGGGACAAAAGAGTAATTATCTATTAAAATAAATTTTAATTAAATAACAAACAAAATAAAAAACCAATGTCCCTCTTCATCTCCCTCACCAAACTTACAACGCCATCCTATCCCATCACACTCCCTAAATCAAACAAAATCGTCGTCTTCTACAGCTACCACCACTCGCCTCTACCGTTGGTGACAGCGGTTTCCTCACCCATTTCATCTTCTTCCCCAACTCTACGTTTTTTGTGATTTTTTTCTTTTCTTTCTCGCCTTTTATGAGCCAACTTTGGAGAGATTTTGTTTGTTTGNTTTGTTTGTTTGAGTGCTTGTTTCTCTTTTTGTGAAGTTTCAAGTTGACATTATATTTTCGTTGCTGGGCTAGGACTCAAACTACTGCAGGCTGTTCACATTTGATTTCCTTTTTGTAAGTAATACTTGGGCGGTGACAATCAATTGATGCACCTATATCAAGAGCACTGGTAATACTTCAGAGAGAAAGGTTTCGAGATCCATCAACTAACTCGATGAGTAGATTTTTCTGTCGTGGTTGATAGTTTTAATTGGTAATTGAATTCAAGCAATGCTATCACTCTAGAATTTAAAAATGTTTGCAAATGAGATGTGCCCAATTGTCATGATGTTTTGTGTTCAGATGAGTCGAGGTTGTGTGGGGAAATGGAACTAAATGTGAGTGAGAGATTCATTGGAAATACAGGTTCTAATGTACATTTGTTAATACAAGGGGCGGTGTTTGAAATAAATCACAAAGTAGAAGATTGTGCAGAGACTATGAGGACAAAGGATTGGAGTTAATGGAGATGGGGGTTGGTGGATGATATGGTTGGAAGAAGATGAAATGGATGGGAAAGTTGTCGCCGATTGTGATAGTAGCAGGTCGTGTGACTGTTGAAGACGACGATTTGATTTATTTTGGTTTAGGGGATGGCATAGGGTAGGAGAGATGAACAAGGGCCTATTCTTTTATTTTTTTTATTTAATTAAAATTAATTTTAATAGATAATTATTCTTGTGTCTTTTTAAAATATAAAATATATGGTCAAAATTAATTTTTGGATCAACTGATGGAAAATTGGATGAAAATCGTCTAAAAGGGCATGAGATACAACGGTTGAAAACATTAGGGGTTATGACTGCAACAATTGAAAAGTTAAGGAAAAGTCTGCTAATATTCGAGAGGTACGTGGTATAGTTTTATTCATTTTATCCTCCATTTGCCGTTGCCCTATTTCCCCACCTTGGCTTCCTCTGCACCTGTACGCACTCGATCCAAAAGATTTCTTTTCTTCTCTCTACAACTCACCCATCTTGCTCTCTAATGGCTGACTACGCTGAGTTCGATTCCCGCCCTAACCAGATCTCCAAAGGTAATTTTCCCCAAATATGTTGTCGCTCTTAAATTGACTAATTAATTAGAATAACCGGTTCTTAAGTTTTTCCGTTTTACTTTTTGAATTTGATTCAAAAGTGCGTTTTTGAGTTTTCTTTTTGGTAAACCTTAGAATGAAGGTACCTTTTTTTCCGCGGGTGGCGTTACTGTGGGTTTAGGGTTTTAATTCTTGTTGGTAAAATCTTTTTCTATTGTGATTAGTTAGTTAAATGTCGGAATTTAGAGAGCATCCTTTGGTCTGGCGTGCTTTTGTATGTGTGTGTGTGTTTTATGTACGTTTATATTCGGAAATTTTCATTTTTTTGGTTTCGTGTCTTTTGTTTATATACGGTTATATTTGGTAATTTTTATTTTTTGGCTTTGCTGTTTACTATAGTAAATCTTAATTGAGTGTAAGTGATGATGTATGTTAGGTGACAGGTAGTTTGCATGTGGCGGCTGAATGCAAATGTTTTGTATAAAATTTCTTGTTTTCTTCAATAAACTTGATCGGTGCTAAGTTGCTGAATTTTCTACAACTGCAATGTCAAAGAAGATTGGCCTTTTTCTTTTTTTTCAAACTCATAATTAACATTGTATGTTGAATTATTGCTGCCAGAGATATTGAAAAAGGGGAGAAAATGTTGCTACCCAATTTTAACAATGTAGCTTGTGCTTGGTGTTTGTGCCTGCCACAGTAATTTTTCCTTTTAGTTTCTATTCATTGCATGGGGTGCATCGATGAGCATTTTGCATTAAAGTTTTGCAGGAAACACTGGTTTGGAGGATGTCACTTTTGCATTTTACTCTGGATATTTACAACATATTATGGCCACAAGTAATTAGTCTCTGTGCTATTGTGCTTGAAAATGTAGTGTTGGAATAAATGTATTGCTCAAGATTTTTGTAGCTAAATTAGGCAGTGATAACATAATAATTTTTTGCATCACGAAGAACACTGGAAAGTAGATATTTGACATTTTAGTACATTTATTTTATATGCATAGCTTTGCATGTATACAAGCTGAAAGAATGCAGTAGGTCTATGTTTATTTAATAATTTAATTTGAGGATGGTGCCTCGAGCTCCTAATAATTAAATGGGGAGTGGTTTGTGGAAGTGGATAGAAAATATCTATAATTTCTTAAATTACTGCAGCTAGAATTATTAGAAGAAAGATAATAGAAATGATAGGGTTGAATTGTTCGGATTGTATGGACTACTTGTTTTGTACGAAATATGACACAGGCCGGATCAAATGTTACATTATTGTCATTTTAACGCTAAGTAAATATGTTTTACTCTGTAGCATGGACTCTTTAATTAGGGTAACATGTTCGTGTTCGACGCGTGTTGATACTAACACTCGTGGGCACTTTACCATAAATATTTTTCTTTTTTTTATTTAAAATATTATATATTTTTAACTCAAAGTTATTAGTATATAACAAATAAATACTCATATTTAAAAGATTGTAAGAAGAAAAATTAATGCTATATTAATGAAGAATTTTAAAAAATTTAATCAACATGTCGGTGACATGTCGTGTCAATACTTTTTGAAACAATCGCATGTTGGATACACATGTCCATGTCAGAGCGTCATATGGTTATATGTAGGATAAAAATATAAATGGATAACTTTTGAAATTGAAAAGTGAATCAAGGGAGAAAATTCGTATTGGTAGTTTTAGGGTCTAATCTTATGATTATTTTAGAATGACCATCTACATTTAATATATGGAAGCATTTGGCAGTTTTTTTGCATTATAGAATCAAATGGATTTGAAATATTTTCTATTCTATATTTCAAGATCTCAATGAACAATTAACTATTCTATGAATATTTCTTATAATATAAGTCATTTTTTATACTGGGTGAAAGAATTTGCAATCCATATAATATGCATCAACAAAACATCCTTCCATCTAAGTACTTGTGTTTATAATATTGGCTTGGAAAAACCCACTATTTTTATAGTGTGTATTTCTCATCATGACGGAAAAAATATTATATTCTCACTTTCTCCTAAGTTCTTCTGGAGTATTTAATTAATTGTCATTTTATCTATGATATGGGTAGATGTGCAAGGATCCAACAACACCATTCCACTTTCGCCACAGTGGCGTCTGCCAAAGCCTGGGGAGAATAAAACTGGATCAGTAACTGGGGTTAGTCATTATTTATTTTGTTGTTGTTTTGAATTTGGCCTTGCTGTTTCTCTCATTGCAATAGAATGTGAACAATTGGCTTAATCAGTCGAAGGATGTTTGGAAAGACCTCCTCATAGAACGTATCAACATATGCAGTCATTTTTTATTTTTGGTACAGGAAAACCAATTCACTCCACTTCCAAGCCCTGCCAATTCTGTGGATATTGCGAAATCACCTGGAACAGGTGAGAGTTTGCATGATAAACATAAGAAGAAAGATGTTTTCCGACCATCTGCCCTGGGTATGGAATCTGGTCGTAGTGATCGCTGGCATGATGAAGAAAGGGACACCAATTCATCTGTCCGTAAAGATCACTGGAGGGAGGCAGATAAAGAGCTCGATGACAACCGCAAGGTGGATCGCCTGACTGGCTCATCTGGACGACGCCATGGAGAGGCCCGTCGTGCCACAGGGGAACGATGGGCTGATTCTGGAAATAGAGAAAGCAGTCAGGATCAACGTAGCAAATGGAGCACTCGCTGGGGGTCTGATGGGAAAAAGACTGATACTATGCGTGAGAAGTGGGAGGACTCTAAAAAGGAATCTGACGTGCTGTTTGATAAAGGACCATCCCATTCTCCATACCTTAGGAAGAATGAGAAGGATGTGGACCAGTATCGAACTTGGAGATCTAACACTTCATACAGCCAAGGCAGAGTGGAGCCGTCGCACCAGGCACTGACCCCAAACAAAGAGGTTACTACATTTGCGCATGGTCGCGGACATGGAGAAAATCTTGCTCCAACCTTTTCTCTTGGTAGGGGAAGGATTAGCTCTGGGGGAAGCTCTGTGACCAATACTTATATTCCTCCACAACCAGCTGGATCTTCTATAGAAAAGGTCGAAAATGGCCTTGAAGAGCGTTCTTCGTTAATATATAGCCGGACAAAATTGCTTAATGTGTACAGCATAACTGATATGAGATCCTTTTCAAAGCTTTTAGGGGAGGTTGATCATGTTCCTTCCCTCACTCTGGAAGAACCTTTAGAACCTCTGGCTTTTTGCACCCCCACTTCTGAAGAATTGGTAAACAATAACATCTACTGTTTAAGAAATTCGGTTGGTGTGCACTTGGAAGTTAAATTGATTTCTTGTGCTTGTGTAGGTTATCTTGAAGGGAATTGACAAAGGAGAAATCATTAGTGTCACTCCGCAGATTGCTAAAGAAGGATCAGTTGGTCGAACCACAACTGATTCTGTGCAGTTAAAAGGAAGCAGGCTTGGTATTGTTATATTCGAATTAGATTATATTTATCCACGTCACTGGTCAAATTTTAGTGTTGTGATTGAAACTTTTGCACATTTTGATCTATATTGGTTTTAATTTGTGTGAGTAGGCAGTAGAAATGATTTGCCCCTTGCTCTTTATGATCCTAAAAGTGAAATTGTGGACAATGTTGAAGGTGGTCATTCAAACTATTCAGAAAGCTTGTCCCACGAGAAGCATATCTATTCTTGGCCAAATGCGAAACTGAAGACAGTGCAGGATTATCAGGCGTTTGCTGATCACAAGTTGAATCCTGAAGGTCCAGTCCATGATTTAAATTTTCTTGTTTGGGACTGTGCAGGATAACGGTGGCCAGAGATGATTAAATCATAATAATACGAAAAGGGGAACAATGAAGTCACAGAAATGATTTCTTAGATATTATAACAGTTGGATTTCCAATCAATCAAATTGTTCCATTCAATTTCTCTGTGGCAGTCAGGATGTTCTGGTTGGAGCCGTCTGAATTTTGATGATTATGATATTTGTCTTTCGGGATCTTGTTGATTTTACACTTGACATCTCCTGCATGTGATTTAACAAAAAAATTATTATTTTTTTCAAATAAATTTGGTCGGCATATTTGTTATGCATGACTAGAAATTTTAGATCGTCAATTTCCCTGCTGTTTAGCTCTAATATAATAGCTGCAAGTCTAAGAAAACAATTTATTGCTTCGTCTTTCAGCCCTGAATGAAGATAGATCTTCTTATATGAAGAATGAGGACACGACCACCACTATAGAATCAAGAATGCCAGAAAATTCTTCAATGCTTCCCGTGGGTGCTTGGAGATCTTCATCTTTCTTAGAGCATTCCAAGTCAGCTATACATGATTGGAGAGAGATATCTAGAGATGTGCAAAAGGATTTGACCGGTGCGTGGGAGAACAATTTGGCAGATCCAACAAATGCCAAAAGAGAAGGATCCAAATTGCAGATAGTTGATGATTCTATTCTGAGAAGGCAACCATCTGCAGTGTTTGACAGGGAGCTGGAATCACGCAAGAATTCTCAGCCATCTCCGGAGGATCTAGTTCTTTACTACAAGGACCCTCAAGGTGAAATTCAAGGTCCTTTTGCTGGGAGCGATATAATTGGATGGTTTGAGGCTGGATATTTTGGCATAGAGTTGCAAGTTCGCCTGGCCAGTGCACCGGCTGACTCCCCATTCTATTTACTTGGGGATGTGATGCCCCACTTACGTGCCAAAGTTAAACCACCTCCTGGATTTAGTACCCCTAATCCTGATGATATTCAAGTTGCTTTTGGTAGGTCTAACCATAACAGCTCTGGGAAGCTTCACTCTGCCTCAAGTGAGGCTGATACGATAAAGAGTGAGCCAAGATATATACATGGTCAGACAATGGAGGCTGAGAACAAGTTTTTGGAGTCACTGATGTCTGGCAGTACGAGTAGTGCCCCACTTGAGAAGTTTACTGTCTCAGAAGGTTTGTGTCTTTTTATGTTAAGAAACCCCATTTTTGGCTTCTAAATTTCATGCAGTATTTTGTGTTCATCTTCTTAATCTTATGTGAACAATTATTTTGTTTTACAGATATGCAGGGATACATGGGGATTAATTCGAGAGCATTACCTCCTGTGGGTGCAGGTAGTGGGGATGACTCGCATCTGTTGGCCAAAATGATGACACTGGAGAGGCAGAGTTCTCTGACAAATTCTTATTCACATTGGCCTGGAAGAGATTTAGGTTCCCATTTGGCAAAGACTGATGTTGTAAATGACTCCTTACTAGCACATTTGAATCTTGACTCTTTAATTTTAGACAATGCTAGTGCACCGAATAATTCTCAGAATGTGGACTTAATGTCTATCATTCGAGGCTTACCAGACAGATCTACAAATAATGTCATCAATGGAACTAGTGGTTGGTTGAATTTACCAGGTCAAGGGGGGTTGGGCCCACATCAGGATAAGTTGGACATGCATCCTGGTCAGAATTTTCCTCCCCAAGCTGCGTTGGGAACACAACAGCAGAGGTTAGAGTCACAAAATTCATTGTTATCAAATCTCTTAGCGCAATCTTCTAATAATTCTTCCAGCATGTTAACCCCAGAAAAACTGCTCTCTTCTGGTCTCTCTCAAGATCCACAACGTTTAAGTTCATTGCAACAGCAGTATTTGTTGCAGCTGCACTCCCAGGCCCCAGTTGCATCACAACAGCTGTCACTTTTGGATAAACTGTTGTTGCTTAAGCAGCAACAAAAACAGGAGCAGGAAGAGAGAGTGCGCCAGCAGCAACAATTGCTTTCGCATGTGCTCTCGGAGCATCACCCCTACCAGAAGTTTGTCGAGTCGCCGTTTGTGCAATTGCAGACTTCTGGTCTGTCATGTGGAAATGCTTCTAGTGATCATGCTCAGTTTCAGGAATCACGTGAATTGTTTCAGACTGATTCGCAGCTAGCTCCCGCTCTCAATTTGCAAGATGAAAGTGCTTCTAATGTGATTTTACCTTCTAGCGTTTCCCAGAATGATAGCTTGAATGTTGGTTCTGAAGCCCGTTCTGTGCATCTGCCTCATCAAATTTTTGGGCATACCATCCATCAAAGGAACTGGGATGCCTGTTTGCCAGAACAAGTTGATAACATGCAGCAGAAGGATTTTCCAATGACAACAGCCATCGTGGATACTTTTACGGGTTCGGAATTGCCAAACAGATATCCATTTGAGCTGAAAGTACATAATGCTGAGGCCATTAAAGTGGCATCATCTGCTGATGCTCCAAGTTTTCCACCTGGGGAACATTTGGGAAAATCAGTTGCACTGCAATTGGCAGGTTGTGATAATGAGTTGTTTGTTTTGGAAAATGCAAATGCAGTTGTAGTGCCTCCGACCACAGCATTTGAACCCCAAGATTTAGGAGAAACTCACAATGATGATTTCCTTGGGGTGAAGGAAGTGAAAAATGCTGAAACACCGGAGGTGAAAAAATCATCTGCCAAGAAGTCAAAAAAGCAGAAGGCTTCAAAGGCACAATGCCCCGACTCAGCAAAGGGAGTCTTTAAGACGAAGAAGGCAGAATCATCAGAAATTGAGGGGACAAATATTGATAATGCAGTGTCTGAGCTGCAAACTGTTGAAGAAGAGAGGAAAACTAATGAAGTTACTTCTGATGGTGGAGATTTTCTGCAGGCCCAAACCTCATTGCCTGCACATATGTTTGCGGATGAAGGTGAGGTTACCAAGAATAGAGGTCAGACAGGAGAAGTATCACAGTTCAATACCCAAGCACATACTGGGCAACGAGTCTGGAAGCCAACTCCTGGTTTCAAGCCAAAATCACTATCAGAAATTCAACAGGAAGAGCAGAAGAGAGCACGAGAAAAAGAAATTGCAGCTTCTGAGATCTCAACAGCTCTGAGCTCAATGAGTGTCTCTACTCATTGGGCCGGGATGGTTGCGAATTCAGATCACAAGGCACTTGGTGGAACATTACAAGATTCTGCCACCACTAAGTTAATTTTGGGAAAATCTGAGAGTTTCTCAAACCAAGAGAGTCCATCACATGATCTAATTTGGGAAACTAATGTGGCCAAGTCAAGTGAGATTCTGATCTCCACATCTAGTCTACCTCCTGTATCTCTTGATTCAGTGGATGATGATAACTTTATTGAGGCTAAAGATACTAAAAGAAGTCGTAAAAAGTCTGCTAAAGCCAAGGTTGCAGGAGTTAAGGTCTCAGTGCCTGTTGTTTCACTGGATTTATCTGTTGGATCAAATTTCATAGACAAAGGTAACAACTCTCATCAGATACAGCAGAAGGAAATATTACCTGCAGTTCCCTCTGGCCCTTCCTTGGGGGATTTTGTTACCTGGAAGGGGGAGTCGACAAATCCATCCCCTGCTCCTGCCTGGTCGACTGAGTCTGTGAAGTTTCAGAAGCCAACATCATTGAGGGACATCCTTAAGGAACAGCAGAGAACTGTTTCTTCTGGATCGGAGGGAACTCCAGTGCCGACACCTCAGAAATCTACTTTCAACCAGCCTGCCCATGGAGTTGGTTCTTCATCGTTGTCTTCTGCCAAAGCTGCATCCTCAATCCAAATCAACTCGTCAGCTTCTTCTCACTCAAAACATAAAGTTGATGACGATCTATTCTGGGGCTCATCAGAGCAACCTAACCATGAGGCTAAGCAGTATGAATCTTTCACTCTTGCTATTCTATTGTCTTTTATGAGCATCAAATGATCAAATGACTTGATTTTATCTATCTGAATCTTGTGCTTGCATTGACAACTTAGTTTGTCGTTCTTTCTCCTACAGAAATTCTTTAATATGTTTTTGGCATTCATGTGAATTGATGCCACACTCCCTGATTTATGCCTGCTATGTGCATATGTAATTTTCAGTAATTCAGTTATTTGCAAGCAACTTAATTACCTGTAAATAGGATTTGGCAAAAGCTCCTTGCTTATCTGTAAATAGGATTTGGGCAAGAGCTCCTTGCTTATATTAGCATGGCCAAATGGAAAACAAGGAATCAAAAAGAGGCAAATCTGCATCATCGGAGATGTAATTTATATTTATCTGCTCTAATGGTTGAGCTCATGAAGGTATTGCAGACATGTCTACTTTAGTAATGAATCCCTCCCTCGAGTCCTTAACCTTCCTCCTCCTGTCTCTCTGTAGAAGTGCACAATTCCTGCACGATCTGGAAAAAAAAAATATGGAGTAATTTCATAAAAACTAGATAGATAAGAAAGACAAATGGAGCTTTGTCTTTCTTGGTTATCTTTCTCCCAAAGCCTGAAAAGCGTTGGGAATCAAAGCAGTATAATTACAATATGTACAAATGTTTAGTCATGTATACTAAATTGGAGCAGTTGATTATGGTGGCTATAGACCGTATTCACTTGCTGCTTGATATGATTACATGTTCATTTGAGGAGTTGGGTAAAGTTGGGATTTGGTGCTGAAGATTGGCCCATTGGCATGGGTGCCCATGCAGGACAGTGAAGGTGGAGTGCGGTAGGGAAGAGAGATGATTTCTAATTTATGAAAAATACATTTGAACTTCTATTGTTGTCTTGTTGCAAATTAATAGTCGCTTAATTTAATTTAATCTGAACTTGACATCTGGCTTTGTTATATGGGATGTTCCTTTGTCGTCCAGTTGTATTGTAAACAAGCCTTGGTACTTCTATTTAAATAATAAGCTAAAGAAGTTCTTCAAGCCACCATGGTGTTGGTTCAATATTTTTGTCCAACTTCTCTTTTTTAAACTCAGGACAATATATTTTTAATTTTCTAATTGTGCCAGACGAGTTAGAAAATGTCTTAAGTTTATTAAGTTGCTCTTTGTATGACCTACAGGTCAGATTTTCCTCTACTTGGAAGCCAAGGAAGTTGGGGAAGCAAAATTACCCAGACCAAAGGAGGAACCCCTGGAAAGACATTGAATCGACAGAAGTCCAGTGGTGGCGGGCCTGGGGAGTATACAATTTCATCATCACCTACCTCTTCCCAGCCATCTTTGAGAGGGAAAAAGGATGCCTTGACTAAGCATTCAGGTAGATCGCTATTGGAAAGAGTTTGTTTTCTATTTTCTTTCTTAAAAAAGAATCGGGAGAATGAACCAGTTTCTTTTACCATACTGTTGCAGAGGCAATGGACTTTAAGGAATGGTGTGAGAACGAGTGCTTCAGACTTGTTGGGTCAAAAGGTTTGTATAAGTTGCAGTTTCTGAATAGTGAGCAAGTATTAAGACTGCTATTTCAGGTAAATTGTTTGCTGATCATTTGATCCATTTTTTCTAGATACAAGTTTCTTGGAATTTTGTATAAAGCAATCTAGGGCAGAAGCTGAAATTCTTCTAATGGAGAACCTTGGCACCTTTGATTCCAACCGTGAGTTCATCGACAAGTTTCTAAATTACAAAGATTTTTTGCCTATTGATGTTATTGATATCGCCTTCAAAACACGGAACGATCAACAAGCCACTGCCTCGGGTGTGGGAGATATGACTTCCGACTATGTTGGCATTGGGGGCTCCAACCGAGGTGGTGTGGATTCTACCGATGGGGGCCCGAAAGGAGGCAAAAAGAAGGGGAAGAAAGGGAAGAAGGTAAGCCCATCAGTGCTGGGATTTAACGTCGTTAGCAACCGAATAATGATGGGGGAAATCCAGACAATTGATGATTAGGTATGTAGTGGGAAATTGTAAATACTTTTTATTGAGACTGACTCTTTAACCGAGGGTTTTTTATTCCTCCATAGAGCAACTGCAGCAGTCAATTTGATCTGCTTGTGCAATTTTGTTTAGTTGCCTTGGCTGTATGTTTTAATTTACTGACCAAAGAATTCGAGGTTTAATTGAAATATGGACGTAGTTTTGTAATTCATGCATCTTTTGTTCTTCGAATCAAGTTACTATATATATATATAGACACGCACACACACACAAACACAATTAATGTTCTGAAAGATGTGTCTAGGCGATGCATAGGCGCAATGTGCAGTGGAAACGCCAAACCAAGTCGCACTCTAGGAGTGATAATGCGCAGCTTATCATCATTTTTTTTTTTTTTTAACAATTCTTTTGAGTTAAAATTTAAAGGTAAATTTTTTTCCTTCATCTGTCCTAAATTAAGAACAACCGCTTGAAGTTTTAAACAAAGGAAAATTTTTAAAAATTCCTATCTATTTACTATTTAATATTTACATTTGAAACTGGAAACTTTAAAATAATGTATAAAGTTTATATAAATTTATTTTAGATGTTTGATAGGTATGATTTTTAATTATTAAATAATTTTTTGATAGATTAAAAATTAAAATAATATTAAAGTAAAAAAAAAAAGTCTTTTTACATGTTTGTCTTGCATAGCCCATAGTTTGATTACATCTTTTAGAACATTGGTGAAGTCATTCAAAAATTTCAAGAACCATGCATATGAATCCTTGGAGTACTTGAGTGAGTTTGATTGCTAATCTTAGTACAGTCGATAGTGTTTTACTCAAGTGAGGGAAGACAATGAACATCATTATAAATGTTTGAAATTTTGAAATCATAAAATTTTGACCGTCAAACATCTAGATCTAAGTATCAAATGAAGTGTTATGAAATGCACCAAAGATTATAATAGTAGTAGGATCATGAAGAACCACACATGCATTATATAATGAATATATTTATTGGCCGAATGTGAAGTGTCTCTTTGATCGATTAGTTCCCTACATAATTCAAATTTAGAAATTCCCATTATTTTTTATAGTCCAATAACGTATATCAGGAGCTAAATCTAGTCAACTTCCATGTAGACCTTGACTTAAAGAAATTTCTTGTGCCCAACGGACGTACAAGAGTGTAATGTACACTGCTATATTTGGATTTTATAGAAGAAGACCATAGAGATATTTGAAATATGCACCTCAACCTAAACTTCCATCCAAACGCTATGCTGAGGTTACAGACTCAAATTTCATAATTAAATGACCATTTACAACCAATTATCTCATTAAAAATATTATACTTAAGAATGTTGAAGGTATAATCATTTGCAAATGGTAATCAATTTATGATGCTCAATAAAAATTATCTCGTTAAAAATCTTATTTTGTAAAAGTTTAATCGTACATTAACACCAAATGTTTTTTTAAAAAAATGAGTACAAAAAAATTGTAATTATCAAATGTTGACTCGTCAAAACATTATTAAAAAAAAAAAAAAAACCGGTGTTATAAAACCAGAGTAAAGGAAAAATGTAAATCTACTCCCAACTCCAACCTATTTCAATCTATAAATACTTTAGGAATCCATCTTTTGTGCGCCAAACGACAGAGACTTGTAGGGATAATTTTGTTGGAAACATTGCTTGCTTGTATTGATGTGCATCAACTTCTAAAATTAAAATAAAGCTAAGCGTACAAGGTTGCTTTGTCGAATGTTTTACAGGGTCAATGGAAAATGCTGAGGTGGATTCGAATATAAAAAAAAAATAATAATAATAATAAAAGCATTTGGGGCGAGACAAAATGAGAAACATGGTGTTTTTTAAAGTGATCCGTGAAAACCTTTTACAAAATTCAACAATGACTTCAGTGATTCTAAAAGTTCAGTGACCCCATGAAAAGTTTTTACAAAATTCAGTAACCATTTGGCTTATTAACCCGACCTGTAAGCAGAAACCCTATACTCCAAGTGCGACTGCTAAAATTGGAATTACGGAAGTTACTGAAATATCTAATGCATTAGTTTTGCCTTCACCGAAATCATGACTTGCTGCCAGCGGATAAATAAAATTTTATGAATGTCCCAAAATCAACATGCTTAGAAGCATGATTATAAGTAAAAGATGATTTAGAAGAAGAAAATTACTGAGATTGAATTTTAAGGTTAAAAAAATTACTTGCTGAGAATAATTATTTTGCAAACTCAATTTTCAATCATTACAGATGGAGTACAAATATAACAAATTCGTTTAGATTATTAATTAATTCTGTCACTTTTTTAAATGCAATCATTTTGCCAAATTACTGAACTTAAAAATGGTCAATTCAAACTGAATTTTCAACTTCACAAAATTTTTAGATAAGTAATTTAAAAGTTTAGGATGCATTTGATTGCAATAATGAAATTTAGTTGAAAAGAAAACAAATTTCTAGAATTAAATTACCTAAAACTTGTTTTATTGAAAATTGTCAATTAAATAAGTTTGATGAGTTTAATTTTCTTCCTCAAAAACATTGAAATTTTAAATCTTTTGATATCTCTTTAATTTTATTTTCTATGAAAATTAACATTAAAAAATAAAATTTATTACAATTGTGAATAAAATTTATTTTCATTATCGAAAATAATAAACAAGGGTCTACTTGATTTCAAATATGAAAATTGGATGGAAAGCATTACCTAAAATTTGTTTTGATAGAAATTGTCAATTAATAGTGTTTAATTAATATAATTTTTCATTTAAAAAATATTAAAATAAAAGCATTTTTTAATATTCATTTAGCTTTATTTTTCATAAAACTAGTTAATTTAAATATATTCACTTCTATAATTGTTCTTAGAATTTATTTCCATTGCCCAAAAAAAAAAATTCAAAAATCATCTATATTTTAATATTCATTTGATTTTATTTTACATGAAAATTATCAATTTAAAGAATATCATCTTTTACAATTGTTTCTAAAATTTATTTCCATTGTGAAAAATAAAAAAAAATAAAAATTAATTTTCCAACAAAATAAAGAGATGGCACATGTGTAAGCAAAAGATGAAAAATGAATTCCATAAGAAAAAAAAATAATCAGACACAAAAAAAAATTGAAAAATGAAATTCATTTTCCATTGAATTCAAGGGATATCAAACAAGGCCTAAATAAATAAAAAGAAAGCTGGAAAAACTTTTCCACCAAAATTTAAAAAAAAGAAATATTCCATATAAAACCAAAAAAAAAAGGTCACGTGAAAAATAAGGTGGAAAATCAATTCCATAGAAAATTTTGCCCATCAAACAAGACATTTGAGTGAAAAATTTCATTTTCCGTGAAATTGATTTGTATCAAACAAACCCCTTGTTTGATAGGCTCCTCTTTCTATGGAAAATTTCCACCCAAACGATGTATTTGATAATCAAAAAATTCCATGTAATTAATTTTCCAATTTCCCCCTCACGTGACCACATTTTCTTGATTTTTAGGGAATTCAATTTCCTTTCATTTGGCAAGAATTGGGTTTGCTAGCTTCTTCCTTTTTATTTATTTAAAATTTTTTTTACAATAAAAACAAATTCTATTAACAATCGTAACAAATCATCTCTTTAATTAACAATTTTTATAAAAAAATAAAGTCAAACAAACACCAAAAAATTCAAAATTTAAACATTTTTCAAGTGAAAAATTATAACAATCAAATACATTTAATTGACAATTATCGACAAAACAAATTCTAGACAATTTAATTCCCTGAAATTCATTTTCGTTCCACTCAAATTCCATTCTTGCAATCAAACAAATCCTTAATGTTATTCTATCTTCCGCGGGGGAAGTTGTTGACCATACTATTCCGCAGGGTGTGATATTTTCCGTTTTAAAAGAATGGCAAACAGGGAAAAAAAAACCAACTATACAAGAATTAGAAAACTCGGCTCCCTCAGAATTCAAGTATATTTTCAACATCAACATTCAGACAAGGCTGAAACATTAATAATATTTATTTTCCATCACTGGGAGCTTCTTAGATGTAGAACAAAGCCATAAACCTAGGATAAAATACAAGTTCAAGATCAAGTACTTGTTTGGGATAACTTAAAAAAGTTACTAAAAATTTAGGCCAGAATTCACACATTTCTTGGGAGCCCCCAACTTATATCAACTATTCATCCACAATTTTCATCATTTTTTTATTAAAATCTACTCAAAAATATATCAAAAGCTTCATCAAACAGCCCCTAAGACAACAAACAAAGCTAACTTCATAATATCAGAATATAATTACAGATTCTTCAAGACACATGAACCACAAGAAAATTCATTTCTTAATAAAACCATTGATCAGATAATTGTAGTCTGGAAGCATTTTTTGATCGTCATTTATTCATCCAAATCGGCTATTCCTCACCTCAATGGTTCAACAAAGCCATAAAAATAAAGCAAATAGAGAATTAGTGCATAAATATAGGAATTTGTGGATAAATTGCCAAGGAAAATGGACTGAGTGAGATGGGCTCAGAAGGATCCATTGGTTTATTATAATCAAAGGAATATCCCTCAGAAAATAGGTAGTTTTCAACATCACAGCCCAACTCAGCTCACCAAACTACAATAACAAAAAGAATTCATAAAACTTTAACAAAAATGTAGCTAACGTAGAAAAGCAGAATTCGTGGAGCTCAGAACTCGGATAACAAATCATGAACTAAGTTTCATTTGTCCAGACATAATTGAAAAAGTTCATCACAGCAGAACAAAAATTAACAATTTAGTTGAAAATCAGAGAATAAAAAAAAATTGTTTATAATTTGAGAATCTCAGATACATTCCAAATGAGGAATTATGCAGACATTCAACACGGCATCAGATTCAGTCCGCCCGTCTGCTTCTTAACATCATTGAGGAAAAACTTTAAAATTAAAACAAAAGAAAAGCGTTTGAAGCATTATTTCAAAAATAGAAGGCATCTGATAATAAGCGGAGTTATATAGTCCACACGGTCATTCAGTGTGTAGGATAAGATTTAACATTCTTCATTTGCCACTTTTAACAAAAAAAATTATAAACGAAATAATAAATACAAATCTTGGAAGGTCCATTTGACACCAAGGCAATTCAAAATTGTGTGCAGTGGGCTGGTAAGCCATCCTATTGAATTTATGCGTCTGTTATATCTCCCAGTACACACA